ATATATACAGTGAAGAAAAGTATTTGATCCCATGCTGATTTTGAATGTGTAGGTCTACAATCTTGTCCCTGACATCCTTGGACAGCTCTTTGGTCTTTGCCATGGTGGAGAGTTTGGAATCTGATTGTTTGATTGCTCCTGTGGACAGGTGTCTTTTATACAGGTAACAAAATGAGATTAGCAGCACTCCCTTTAAGAGACTGCTTCTAATCTCAGCTTGTTACCTGTATGAAAGACACCTGGTAGCCAGAAATCCTGCTGAATGATAGGGGATCAAATACTTATTTCCCTCATGAACATGCAAATCAGTGCATAATTTGTTAGACGTGCATTTCATTTGAATTTTTTGTTGCTATTCTGTCTCTCAGTGTTACAATACACCTACCATTCGATTTTTAGACTGATCATTTCTTTGTGAGTGGGCAAACATTCAAAATCAGCAGGGGTCAAATACTTATTTCTTTCACTATATCTTAGGAATAAATTTTAATACTTATGCTCATATGTATGTATTTGCAACAGGTGGCATAAATTACTAAGCAATAAAGCACAGATTTTATTTTTTTTTTTACTGAGGAATACATGGCGCTTATTTATGTCCCTGTGTGTAAAGGCACTTTGTAAATAATGAGCTACATTTTACTTCAGTAAAAAAATACGCTGTACTGAGCTTTTTCAAGCTGCGGTGTGCGAGAGGCCTTAGTCTTTCACAATGTAAAAGATAGCTTCTACTTTTCAAAGTGCAAATGATTAAAACACCACCAAATAATTACCTAAAATCATACGAATAGCATAAACCTACTTTCTGAAAATATTCTAAGCATGAAAATGTAAAACAAATGTGGCCACCATATCGAAGGACTGCAAGCTGCAATAGATTTTGTATTTGTTTTGGGGGTTAGATATTTTTTTTAGCATCAAACAGGAAATAGCAGATATCATAAAGTGCTCGGCAAACCTACCTCTCCATGTACAGCAATAATGTTCACCAACGCCTCCTTCAAGTAGTTTCTTACTCCTGAAAACAGGCACACAAAAAGTTAGTTGCATGCTAAAACATCGCATTATATCCAAACACGTATGCTGTGAAGGCTAGAAAAAGTATAATATAAGAGCCAGTCAATTTCTAGCTAGGTGGATCAACCCTCTGAGACATCATAGAGGACCACATACAGTTGCAAGAGAAAGTATGTGAACCCCTTGGGATTACGTGGAATTTTGCATGAATTGGGCATAAAATGTGCTCTGAACGTCATCTAAGTCACAACAATAGAAGAACACAGTCTGCTGAACATAATACTACACAAACATTACATGTTGCCATGGTTTAATTGCACATAACATGTAAACATTCACAGTGCAGGGAGGAAAAAGTATGTGAGGCCCTAGCTTAATGACTTCTCCCAGAGCTAATTGGAGCCAGGAGTGAGCCAACCTTGACTCCAATCTGTGTGATGATATTGGATGTGTTGCTGACAACTGTCCTGCCCTTAAAAAACACACACCTGTTTTGGGTTTACTGGTTTCAAGAAGCAATGTCTGATGTGAACCATGCCTCGCAGAAAAGAGCTCTCAGAAGACCTACGATCAAGAATTGTTGACTTGCATGAAGCTGGAAAGGGTAAAAAAGTATCTCCAAAAGCCTTGATGTTCATGTGTCCACGTTCAGAGCACATTTTATGCCCAATTCATGCAAAACTCCACGTAATCCCAAGGGGTTTCACATACTTTTTTTTGCAACTGTAACACACTTACTCTACGCATGTTTGCAGTTTAATTATGATTAAGCACAAGATTGTGTGAACGCGTTAACAGGTCCTGTATTCATGTCCTGGTGTTTTGTGTGTCCTATGGAGCAATAAATACACACTATATTCATCTATCCTCCGGTGTGCGGCTGACCCTTCTTCCTGTTGCATCATGTGTGGTGGCGAGCCAGGGCCTGCACCTGTTGTGGATTGATCTGGATTGTTTGCCTGAGTGGTATACCCTTGTTCTTTCATAACAGTACAATGCAAGCTTTTATACACACTATAGCAACTACATTTAAAGTGATGTTCCACCCAAAAGGGGAAGTTTTGCTTTAAGGACTGACACCTTTGGGGAGCAGGGGGGAAGGGGGTACCCAATGTTTGCTAGGTACCCGCTCCCACCTCCACTCTGACCGTCTAGGCGATCAGAAGCGGAAGTAACATGCCATCAGTGAGAAAAGCTCAGTGGTTTGACACATTTTATTTACACCTTTGTGGAAAAATGAAGCAGCCTTGACCCTAGTTTCACACTACAGCGGGCACTGCAGCCTGCCTTTGTTGCCCATGTATCCCGCAGAAAAAGAGGTGCTTGCATCTTTTTAAAAACGTTGCCGCAGGGAAACCACATGGTCTTTTTGACCATGCTGTTTCCCTGAGATTCACGCATCCGCAAACGAGCTGCAGGCTGAGATGTGTGGGGGTAATATTCAGAATGTCTCATGTAGCGTGTCTCGTAAAAGCAGCGCAATTTGATTGCGGGAACAGGTACGATTCCTGCGCCTGCAACCAGCCCGTAGACTGCATATAATTGTGAACGTAGCTTGAAGACTGAAACTGATTTGTACCTAGATTCTGCTAGCAGACATTTAATAGAATCAAACACGGAGTAGACATTGCAACATTCATTTGGACCATTACAGATTTGGAGATAATGTTACACTGCCTCACTAGCCTACTGATGCAACTGCTCCCTTTGTGGTGACAGGGCCTTAAAGTCATTCTAAAAGGAAGTTAAAGGGTAACTCTACTTTTGTGGGTAAAAAAAAATCAAATAATAAAAAAAAAAATAATATAGCATGTACAATTGCTACACAATTGTAATTGGATGTTATTAAAAATACCTTTCCTTTTCAATCTGCAGCGTTCTAATTTTCTGCCAAATGCAATGAAATATGGCTACCTGGAGGCAGTGTGTTCACAGATGGTGTACAGAACACCCCCCAGAAATGTCATTTCCTGCTTGTGTGACTGGTTTACTGGTTTTCCCAGAAGACTGTGCTAAGATACAGATCACATTCCCTGGAAAAATATGTCATTTTTGGCAAGATACTCCCAAAGGGAAATCCCGTCTAAGAGGAATGCAGACCCTGCCACTCTGCAATTATGAAATCACTCCTATTCACATTCACTTTGCACATACGCTTAGACACAGACAAATAGCTGCATTGTACATTGATCACCCAGAGGGAATTGTGTTTCTCTCAAAAAAGTGAAGTTAACATGTCATACTTACCTGCTCTGTGCAATGGTTTTGCACGTAGCAGCCCCCATTCTTCTCTTATGGGATTCCCCACTGGCACTCCTGGCTCCTACCCCCTTCTGAATCCACTTGCTATGGGGGCACTTGTGCAGAATCACTCCTGAGCCATGCTCTGTGCGTCCATTGGCACACAGAGCAAGGCTTTGCCCCGCCCCCCACTCTCTAGTCACCGCCGTTGCCTCAATCTCCAGTTAGGACAAAGAGAGAGCCGAGGCTCTTGGGCACAGCACTGCATTGAGAACGGGCTCAGGTAAGTAGATTGGGGGGTTGGGAAGAAGGGGGGGGGGAGCTGCATGCAGAATGTTTTTTCTTTATCTTTAATGCAGAGAATCTTCTACCTTTAGAACCTCTTTAAATAAGTTAACAGCATAGGCTTTCCTCATTCTCTCATCTAGAGACTACATGGCAGTTGCCACCCTTAAGCAGATCTACATTCAGCCACTAATATTTCATATGGTAATAGGATTTCAAAATCTTCTTTTAAAATCTGCAGCTTTCATTAAAAGAATAGCTGGTACTTGCACAGACACTTCCTGTTAAGATGTGAAAACCATCAGTCTCTACCCAAAAAAAAGCTGCAGGTGATCAGCAGTATTGAGATACAAAAGGGATGAAAAACAGAGAAAAGAGTATTAAAAAAAACACCATAAAAATATTTCAGGATACACCGTGCTTTAGCAAATACAATTACATCCAGTTAACCCTTTGAGGACCAAGGGACGTATTTGTCCCATGTTTTTAATTGCCTGTATCATCTGATTAAGAACTTAAAATACTTTTTTTTTTTTTGGTTTGAGTCAAAATATTAGTTCTTATCAACAAATGGATCTAGCTTTTTGCCAATTATTTCATGAAATGGCTTAGTTACAGCAACTGAAGTGTACGAACTTTAAAAACAAAAATGGGATTCTTTTGGAGTTCCGTAATCTTAGGTCCTCAAAGGGTTAAGGGTTAAATTTACTTTAAAGAGGAACTGAGCTCAAAAGTGAAGATTTGCTATGTTAAAGGAAACATTTAAAAATGGTAGCTGGGCTCAAACAGTGTCCTGAACAATTTACCTTTTGTCTGGAATTCCTCCTAAATATAACAGTGCACTTCCCAGTATGTGAGGGTGTCTACGCACTCCTAGCTGTTTATCTGCAATCTAAGATTTGAGGTCCTGCTGCCTCTGACTGCTAGTGACTAGTGAGATTCAGTGATGTCATTACAGTCCTCCTTGCTGGAGGCTCTGACATGAGGAAGCAAACCCTGCCACTAACAAATACTATTAGCATATAGTCTATTTGGCCTCTTGTAGAATGTGTTTTGAATTACTCCAGGCCTACTGTACCAAATACTAACAACCCCATTTTCTGTACCATGATTTATATGCCGCAAATTGCGTTACAACATGGGGACTTTTTTTTTTTTTTTTACACAATTGCCAGACTAGCATTTTTCATTTCGCTTCAAATTAAACTCTCACTTGGTGCATCTAAAAAAAACAAGTTTCTGTGCAAATGTATGGTGCACCGATAATAGTTTTCTTTTCCACCTACAGTAGTGCCTATTGAGCATTGAAATCCTAATAACTTCATCAGCCCTATTGGTATTTCCAATGAAATACAAAAGACACAACCTTCTCTTCAAACCCCTTCCTTCCTTATCTCCATAACCCCTTCTTGCGCACAGAAGATATCGAACACAATCAACCAGTATATTTTGTATATAACAAAATGCTTTAACCACTTGCCATCCTGAGGATTTACCCCCCTTCCTGACTAGGCCATTTTTTGTGTTACGGCGCTGCATGACAATTGTGTGGTCATGCAATGCTGCACCCAAATAAAATTTACGTTGCTTTTTTCCCACAAATTTAGCTTTCTTTCGGTGGTATTTGATAGCCTGTGCATTTTCAATTTTTTGCACTAAAAAAACAAACAAACAATATTTTTGATTTTTTGCTATTAAACATGTCCAGTAAAAAAATTTAAAAAAAATCTGTACTAATGGCACTGGGCAGGGGGGCTGCTGCTGCTGCACACAGAAGGTTTTTTTACCTTTATGCATTCTAAAACCACTTTAACAGACCAAAAGGACAAAACAAAACAAAGGTTATTTTTAGCGTTTAAGAATCAACTGAGGTAGAAGAGAAGTGCAGGTTTACAATAAAACAATCAGTCATACTCACCTGGATGGCTGCAGCATTGATCTGATGCTGCAGCTGTCTCCCGTAAGCCTCTTACTGAGAACTGAGAAGATTGGGCTTTGGAGGGGGCAGAGGTGGCTGGCTCAGGTTGTCAGCAGCTCACAGAGAGGCAAAGCCAGCTGCTGGTCAGAAATCTGCAAGGATCCCAACAATAATGTCAGGATTCCCCGGCTCTGTGACATCACCTGACAGCGGACTGTAGTCTGCTGTTGGCTGAATCTGAAACGCAGGAGTGCAGAACTAAGTGCACACTTGAGATTCCCAGGAGAATTATGGCCAAAAAAGCTTTATTACTGCAGAATTTGGTAGGAAGTGACACAGAGAAATCAAAGCTGCCAGTCTGTTTGCTATACATTGGGGCAAAAAAGTATTTAGTCAGCCACCAACTGTGCAAGTTCTCCCACTTAAAAAGATGAGAGAGGCCTGTAATTGGCATCATAGGTAGATCTCAACTATGAGAGACAAAATGAGAAAACAAATCCAGATAATCACATTGGCTGATTTGGAAAGAATTTATTTGCAAATTATGGTGGAAAATAAGTATTTGGTCAATATCAAAAGTTCATGTCAATACTTTGTTATATATCCTTTGTTGGCAATGACAGAGGTCAAACGTTTCCTGTAAGTCTTCACAAGGTTGGCACACACTGTTGCTGGTATGTTGGCCCATTCCTCCATGCAGATCTCCTCTAGAGCAGTGATGTTTTGGGGCTGTCGCTGGGCAACACGGACTTTCAACTCCCTCCAAAGGTTTTCTATGGGGTTGAGATCTGAAGACTGGCTAGGCCACTCCAGGACCTTGAAATGCTTCTTACGAAGCCACTCCTTTGTTGCCCGGGCGGTATGTTTGGGGTCATGGTCATGTTGGAAGACCCAGGAGGTTTGCACTCAAAATCTCACGATACATGGCCCCATTCATTGTGTCCTCTACATGGATCAGTCGTCCTGGTCAGTTCGCGGAGAAACAGCCCCAAAGCATGATGTTGCCACCCCCCATGCTTCACAGTAGGTATGGTGTTCTTTGGATGCAACTCAGCGTTCTCTCTCCTCCAAACACGACAAGTTGTGGTTCTACCAAACAGTTCTATTTTGGTTTCATCTGACCATATGACATTCTCCCAATCCTCTTCTGGATCATCCAAATGCTCTCTAGCAAACTTCAGACGGGCCCGGACATGTACTGGCTTAAGCAGGGGGAAACGTCTGGCACTGCAGGATCTGAGTCCCTGGCGGCGTAGTGTGTTACTGATGGTAGCCTTTGTTACGTTGGTCCCAGCTCTCTGCAGGTCATTCACTAGGTCCCCCCGTGTGGTCCTGGGATTTTTGCTCACCGTTCTTGTGAACATTTTGACCCCACGGGGTGAGTTCCTGCGTGGAGCCCCAGATTGAGGGAGATTATCAGTGGTCTTGTATGTCTTCCATTTTCTAATTATTGCTCCCACAGTTGATTTGTTCACACCAAGCTGCTTGCCTATTGCATATTCAGTCTTCCCAGCCTGGTGCAGGTCTACAATTTTGTTTCTGGTGTCCTTCAACAGCTCTTTGGTCTTCACCATAGTGGAGTTTGGAGTGTGACTGTTTGAGGTTGTGGACAGATGTCTTTTATACTGATAACAAGTTCAAACAGGTGCCATTGATACAGGTGATGAGTGCAGGACAGAGGAGCCTCTTAAAGAAGAAGGTACAGGTCTGTGAGAGCCAGAAATCTTGCTTGTTTGTAGGTGACCAAATACTTATTTTCCACCATAATTTGCAAATAAATTCTTTCCAAATCAGCCAATGTGATTGTCTGTATTTTTTTTTCTCATTTTGTCTCTCATAGTGGAGGTCTACCTATGATGCCAATTACAGGCCTCTCTCATCTTTTTAAGTAGGAGAACTTGCACAATTGGTGGCTGACTAAATACTTTTTTGCCCCACTGTATCTCCATAACCCCTTCTTGTGCACAGAAATGTTACCTTGAAGCATTATGTATCGAACAACATACTGGTAAATTTGGTAATATTCAAGTTTTTGACTGGTACAAGGGTGAAAGCTTCAGGCCTTGTTCATACCTTTGTGTTTTTATGCGCATTTTGGAACACAAAAAAAACCCCATACATGTCATAAATATATATTGAATCCCATGAGGCCGATCTCATCTGTGCACTGCATTGATAGAAACGAAAATACATGAAAACGCACTTGCAACGCACTTTAAAAAAAAAACAGATGACAAAACGGACACGGATAGATGTGAACCTGGCCTTATTTGATAGAATACACATTCTCGTATATTAGCTGTCCCTCGGTAATTTAAAAACATTACAATAAACCTGTGTTGTTGTCAGGTTCTAAGAATTTTGCTCAATTCCCATCTACTTCAAGTAGTCATGCAGGCACTTACACATCAGTGGCATGCTCCATTTTTAACACCTGGGGTTACCACTGAGACATTTCTGTACTAACAAGACCAAAGTGAGGAGGCTTGTGGGTACATTCTAAAGAGTTTTATTAATATAAACACTTTCACGTTAAGGCATTACTTTAAATGCTATACTTCTTACTGTCAATATAGTCACTACTTTAATTTTTATTTAATGGATCTATTTACCAAATTGACATTACAAGAGAAACTGAAGAAGGGAATATGCACCATAATATGAGTCAGATTTTTTACTATAACACTGCTATAGCCAAATATTCAGGAGAATGACTAAGAAAATTCACAACTATTTTCAATTCGGTTTCTTAAGGACTCCTATAAGTTACACATTCATATTCGTAAATGTGGTTAGACACGTATAATAAAGCAAAGCATAATTACAGAAGACCGCAGTCACTATGCACATAAAGTATATCTGTATAAACTGCTTAGACTCTAATTACAGAACAAAGCCTGCCTCTATATATGTCAAAACACAATATAATATAAAATACACTAGTTAATAGCTGACACGTAGGCGTAGCAGGTCACAAGGGCTCAGCTTGCAGCCTTATCATTCTGGAAATGAATGCTGGTGTACAAACAACCTGGAAATGGGAGATATCTATATTAGCTGATAAAGTAGTCATACAATAAAAAAAAAGGTGTAAAGGGGATGTGTAAATTCCAGTAACCTACACCAAGCTATAGCAGGTCTTAGCTTCCTGGAATCACATCCTCTAAAATGTGACAAATAACTAGTTGCAATTGGCTACTGCAATTTAAAAATAAATAAATAAATTACAGCTGCTCTAAACGCTGTCCTATTGTTATTATTTTTGCACTCTGAAGGATAAATTCACCTTTGTAGAAAAAATATTAAACGCACATCTTTTTTGCAGGTAAAAAAATTATTATTACATCATTTTATTTTTTTTTTTTTTTTTACTAGGAGCCTGAAAGCATTGCACCAGCGATCCTGCAATATCAGGCTCCTGCAGACTCTCAGTGCAAGCTGTCTGCTTGTACCTTATATGTGCAGGCAATTACACACTGATAGGAAGAATCAATGAACTACCTACAGCGCTCAACAGCACCCTGATAGTTCATTGAGAACTACAAGCCATCAGTCGTAAAGACTGTCGGTACTTGTAGTGGTCCCATTCATAGAAATCTGTGAATGAATTACACGGCCGGGTGGGTGGAGCCCCACATGGCCCCTTTTTTAAAAACATTGCGACAGCGGGTGTGGGGAGAAGATCCCCAGCCCGCTGTCACAAAGGGGGTTTGGGGCTGCTACAACAGTAACATGGGATACAAATGGGAAACAGAAAAAGGGCGCACCAACCTAGTGCATTATCATTTAAAATAATTTATTAAAGAAACAAAAATAGGTATCATACTCACAATGGACATAATAACACAGGCATGTCAAACTGAACAAGATGTATGATCCAAACAACATCTGAGTCCATACGATGGAACCCTGGATGACCAACTGGCTAACGCGTTTCGAGGACACAACCTCTTCCTCAGATCCAAAGTGTTTGTTGTGTTGGATACAACAGTAATATGTTAGATGTTACACCCTGAATATGGGTGTAACATCTAACATGTTACACCCATATTCAGGGTGTAAAGGTGGGAATACACAATTAGAAAATCGACCGATCGGTCATCCGACAACCGAGAGGCGTTCGTTCGTTGGTTGAAATCGTGGCCCACATTAACCAATCTAAAATAATCATTCGTCGGGCAATACATAGTGTTGACATCTTCCGTACAAGTGGAAGTGATGCAGTGTGCGTGTGACCTTGTAGCCACGCCCTTCTGGCCAGAACGAGCGATATACACAACAATTAACAGCAATGAGTATAATATAGTTTATAATATAATAATTATGTATATTGATAATATTACATTATCTATACACATAAATAGTGATACATAAAATATAATATGCACCATTCTGGTTTCATTATCTCATCAGGTCAATCTACTTTTAACATTTTGATTTTTCGTTCCTGTTTACGAAGATTCCTTGGACATAAACATCCGGGTCCTCTTCTGTTTCCGCTCATGCGTGATAGCGCTTGATAGATTTTTCTCCCTATTCTCCTAATCCAAAAAGATAATCCCAACAGGTATCACTGCCTGTGGCCAGTCCCCCGCTCCCCGTGCAGAATTGGCACCTTTGGGGAGCGGGTATCTGATTTTGACAGTTACCCGCTCCCACTTTTGCTCTCACCGCCTAAACGATCGGAAGCGGAAATTGCCCTCCCTTCCCGCAGTCTTCTGGGACAAGTGAGAGGTCCCAG